CGTGGTATCACTCCGGTTGAGCCGACCCAATCATGCCGAAGCATAGCTCTTCTTAACATAGCGACTTCTTTAAAATTTAATAGTTTATTATGAAAGAAGCCTAATGAAAACTTGTAATATTAACCAAAATGCTGTATCTGGGAAAATTCACCCAGACGAAGACCAAAAGGACCGAAACTTGGCTCAAGCCTCATTTGCCGTCCACCACTTATCCTTTGGCCGGCTATATCCTTATAAGGAATGACCGGAGTTGTGGGAGGGGTGGTGGTGTGGCTATATACCTCCGCTGTGATTTTCCTTACAAAATTCTTCTAACTTCTTCTTGTAACAGCCCTGCGGAGTATATATTTCTTGAGGTCTGTGTCCGAGGGGTCAAGGTAATTTTGGGTGTAGTCTATTGTCCCCCTACACTTGATTACTTCACTGAATTCCAATCAGTACTAGAATCTTTGGGTTCAGGGTACGCACATCACATAATCATGGGTGACTTTAACACCAACCTCCTTACCCCCATCTCCCATCGTTCTCGTAAACTCCTGGAATTGGTCGAGTCGGCTTGCATGCATTTGTTGCCGCTTAATCCCACTCATCACAATACAGGTGCCGATGACACCTGGCTCGACCTGATCCTTACCTCCAATCCTTCCCTTGTTTCCTGCCATGGTCAACATGACGCTCCAGGCTTTTCTCACCACGACCTCATATACCTTTCTTATACCCTGAAACCTCCTAAAGTTAAGCCCAGGTTTTTGTACAGACGTTGTTTTAAGCGAATGGATGGAGAAAGGCTTCGGGAAGAGGCTTCAAATATTGATTGGGAGCCGCTGATGAGTGCCACCACGGTTGATGACAAGGTTGACATCTTTAATAAAATCATCACCAAGCTGTATGATCGGCACGCTCCAGTCCGAAAAGTGAAGATTAAGCGACCACCCGCGCCATGGATGACCAGAGGCATTCAGATGGCGATGCGTCGCAGGGACCGAGCCTTCAGGAAACATAAAAGGGACCGCACTGAGGAAAACTGGTTAGCTTTTAAATTTGCAAGGAATCGATGCAACCAGATGGTACGCAACGCTAAACGCCGACATATTCTTGATAACATCTCTCTATCTTCTCCTGCCAATATCTGGAAATTTCTAAAATCTCTAGGTATTGGTAGAACGCAATATTCAGACCTCCCGACCTCTATTAGTCTGGATGATCTAAACAATCATTTCTCCACCTCTTCGCCCTTGGATTGTCTAACTAAAGAGAGTACTGCATCATCAATTGCTGGTCTGATGCGTCCTGCTATAAATCCTTTCCGTTTCGACCCTGTAGACTCGGAGGAAACCAGAAAGATTATCCTGTCCATCAAGTCCAAGGCTGTTGGTTGTGATAATATTTCCCGATACATGATCATAACAGTTTTGGATCACCTCATCCCAGCCTTAACTCACATCATCAACTTTTCACTCTACTCTAGTTCTTTTCCTTCCTTGTGGCGCAGAGCATTTGTCCGGCCACTGCCTAAAATCTCGAATCCTACTCTTCCCACTCACTTCCGTCCTATTTCAATCCTCCCTTTCTTATCTAAAGTGCTTGAGGCTTGTGTACACAGGCAACTCTCACATTTTGTATTCCGCAACTCCTTACTTAGTCCCTTCCAATCTGGCTTCAGGCCAGGGCACAGTACCACAACGGCCCTCCTTAAAGTGACTGGCGATGTGAGGGCAGGTCTGGAAGACAGTAAAGTCACCGTACTAGTATTGGTCGACTTCTCAAATGCCTTTAACATGGTCAGTCACGACATCCTTCTAGCCATCCTATCCCATCTTATGGTTTCCGATGATACTCTACATTGGTTCTCATCTTATCTTCGGGGGCGGCGACAGATGGTCCAAGTTGGTGATTCGTCATCAGAATGGTGCCATTTGGAAACTGGCGTCCCTCAAGGCGGTATACTATCACCTCTCTTATTTTCTATCTTCATCAATCTCATTACTACTGAACTTCAATGTGCGTATCATCTGTACGCTGATGACTTGCAGTTGTACTGTCAGGCTAGTAGGGAGAACTTACCGGAAGCTATCAAAAGGCTAAACATTGACCTGGCTTCTATTAAAGACTGGGGTGATAGGTTTGGGGTAGCTGTAAACCCGAGCAAGTGCCAGGCCATAGTAATTGCGAGCTCGCGCATCCTCAGTAGAATAGATGCTAGCACCCTTCCCCCTGTTCTGTTTGACGGTGCGGTCATCCCATGCACCAGCGACGTCAAGAATCTTGGCCTTCACATTGATAATACCTTGAGCTGGCGCCCGCAGGTTACCAGTGTCTGTAAGAGGGTTACTGGGTCGTTGCGGGCTCTGTATCGCCTCAAAAACTTTCTTCCATCCTTCGTGAAGGCAACGCTTGTCCAGTCGTTAATTTTCCCTATTATTGATTATGGTGATGTCTGTTATTACGACCTGAATGCAGATCTCCTCAACAAACTAGACAGACTTCTGAATAACTGCATTCGATTCGTGTTCAACCTTCGTAAATATGATCATGTTTCTGCACAGCGCTTGCAATTAAAGTGGTTACCCATACGCCAACGTAGGGAGCAAAGGGCTTTAACTACTTTATTCTCTCTTCTTGAATCCCCTTTTTCTCCTAACTATCTATCCACCTATTTTCAATACACCAGTGCAAACCACAGTAAATATCTTCGTTCTTCCAACAATCGCCATCTACAGTGTGTCAGTCATCGCACTGATTTTCTTCATTCTTCTTTCTTCATACAATCTGTTATTCTGTGGAATGCACTACCCACGGATATCAGGACGGCGTCCAGTCGCTTAGCTTTTAAGATTAAAGTTCGGGAGCATCTTCTTCAACAATTGGTAGATTCATCTCAAACCTAAACCTCTTTTAATTTAATATTTTGTATTATATTTTATAATGTACATATATATTTCTATATATATTCATTATTTTTTATTTATATATTTACTTTAATATTGTATACATAATTATTGTTATATGTAAGTATGTATAAGTTTTCAAATATACCTATATGCTTAGTGTTTATTGAATATTCTGATTGTAAGATTTGTTATTTATTACACTGGTACATTGCCTATTTATAAAGGTTTAAATCACCTGCTACTTTCATCTCTGCACTGCTTAAAGGTTGACTGGGAGACAATGCCCATGGCATTAAGTCCACCTGTACACACTTGTTGTATGAAGTTGAAATAAAATAAAATAAATAAAATAAAATAAAAGGTCACAAAATACTAAACCAGTTTTTTATGGGATAATCCGGTAAACGAGCAGACGGAACACCTGATGGTAAGCAATCGGCGTCGCCCATGGACACTAAAGGCGTTACAAGTGCGTTACCGGCCTTTTGGGATTACGAACTTTAGGATTGTTGGGGATTGGAGAAGGGGGGGGGGGGTTGATGAAACTGCGAAGAAACTAAATAAAAATTACGACGTCGGTCAGTATGGGTACTTACGTTTATATTTTGTTAATCAGGGTAAACACACGGCCATTGTTCTAATTCGATTGTAAAAGTTTATTGATTTTATTTACTCCAGTCATTGACTTCGAAACTAACGGTTCCTGTATAAAGAAAACAAAGCACGTATTGTTATTGATTATCACTTGAAAGTTATTATGGCTAGTTCATTATCATCTTAGTTTTAGTTACAAGGGCACAGGAGATGTGGATGACTGAATAAGAAAGGTGGGAGAAGTGATTGAATTTCTTTTTTTTTCTTCTTCTCCTCTTGTAATATTTTCTCATTCACTTCGTTGCGGGAACCAAGACAGTTACTCATGCCCCTAGGACGCGCCGGACTTCAGTGTTCTGGTGTTTTCATGGTTGTATCTTCTGTAGATCCTGGCTTACAGGAGTTGCAGCGGTTGTGGGAGGTTGTGGCGGGCTTGTCCCATAAAAAAAAGTAATTGGATGATTTTCGTCGCTTAAAAAACGACCACAAGACATTCATTGCTGAAAAGAGAACTCCTCTAAAGGCCTCATAACTCCAATCTGCATCCAGCGGCTACCTGCGACCGATATTAGTCAGGTTGTCTGCCTACCTTGTTAAAGCTTAATAAGGCTCATAATCTGAGTAAAAATCTAACCAAAATAAGGTATAATGTCTTATGCCTGTTGAAGAGGACGACAATGCACTTGTAACTATACTTTACTCTTGTCTCTGAGCATTATGTGGTCCGTGGACGATGGTAGTCTTTGATCATTAGGAAATACGGTCTTCAAATCTTTAAGAAAAGAGCGTATTCCTTTTTAAAATGCCAGCAACCCACCTGTGACTCGTCTGGTGTTGCGGGTGTCCTTGAGCGGCGCTGATCGCTTACCATCAGGTGATCCGTCTGCTCGTTTTCCTCCTATTCCATTAAAAAAATCTTTTGACGTTTAAAGAATTCATTACCGGGTCAACCACGGGGGTCAACCCTTTATCTTATTTTTTATTAGAAGGTTAGATACGAAAGAGGGGTGGGGGGTGGAGTACGGACCCCATAAAAGGCAAACAAATCTGCTTGAGAAATAAGTAAAAAATAACGATTCTAAAGTTAGTTATTGTATTACGAATTCAGTTCAATGACATGTTTGTACGATCGATAAAGTTCAACGAATACTGTTGAATATTAACTACGTATTGAGGTTATGATTACCATAGATAATATAATATAATAATATGGTCAGTGGGTAACAGAAATAGGTAGAAATTTTCTATTATTACTAAAAAAATAAACATAAAAAAGTATTTATATAGCGTGTGTTGACTGAGAAAATCATACCTAATTAAGAAAAACAGAATGGAACTAGAAATAAAATCTCAGTTTTATAACTTATTAAAAACTTAAATTGAATAGTTAATAATCGTATCTACTTTACAATAATTGAACAGTGAAATTCGTGTACAAACATGAACACAATCTCCAAACACCGGCTTTACGGTTGTGTACCAAAACAACTGCCGGCCAGTCGCTTCTAGGTTCGTCCTTAGTTCTGTTTAGTAACTCGCAGCCAAACGACGCATGCGTACAACCGGTGAACTAAATACGCGAGTTTATTACTAAAAAAACAAACTAAATCAAAACAAGTGTAATTATTATAATCTGTGAATATAAATACTTTTTTTTTGTATAAAACTCTGTGGTGTTTGTTCCAAATTCAAAGTTTGAATTGCATTTGAAAGATTAAAGGTACGTTTCACTGTTGGTTTATGGTTTGTGTTTACGAAAATAGAACGTTGGTTGTAGTTATAAATCGGTTTATGTTGTTGAAATAAGTAGGTATTCTATTGTTTTTATTATGATTATGTATACAAACGAGTGAAAGTTGAATGTGGCTTGATAGGTAACTGATGGATTGACTATAAAATTATTTATTCCGTTTCCTTTTTAGAATGACTAACTAAAATTCATCGACACGCATAAGGAATACATTGCTTAAGGGGGAAAAATCATCGAATGGCTTCTCCCGCCTGAGTGAGGCGGGATGGAGTGTCAGACTCTTACTGACTAAAAACCACCCCGTTCTTTCTCCTGCACGTCGAGCCGGAGCCCCAGTAACCCGTTAAGTTCTCCGCGACAACTAATTTCCGTACTTAGGATAAAATTCCTTTACCATCGAGTTTGTTTTTTTTTCTTTTTAAAATAAAGTACGGAAATTAGTTGAATTTTTATGGTAGTTTTATAACATAAATACATGTATATTATTATGTCTGTGATAAATTTTTTATTTAGCATATAATGTTATCGATTCCGGTGTAGTTCAAACATTAATAGTTAGGCATTTAAAAACAACTTGAACTGAACGTGTATAACTGCATTTTAGCGAGAATTACGCCCTTGAATACAAATATGGCAGATATACAAAATAATTTATGTAATGTTTGGCTGTGATTTGAGAATAGTAATTATTTTTCCTCATTAATTTTATTTATGTACCATATTCGTTCGCTTATAATGAACAAATGGTCGAATATCGAATACAAGAATATTTTTCAAATTCGAACCATTCATGGTGAATAATTCCTTCGTGCAAACAAACAAAATCTTTAGGTTTTGTTTACAGTAATATTTAAAGGAGAAAGGGAATTCCTCCATAGATTCCTGGGCCCAGGTGTTAACTAAATGAAATTAGCCTTATATGGAAGAGGATATAATATCAAGGCTTAACTGAGAATTTGGTAAAATTTGGCTTCCTAGAAACCAAGTTATCTGAATTATAGTAAAAGTTAGGTTATAGTATAATAAGCTTGTGATTTGTTTGTGTAATTTCTGAATTACTTCTGAAATACTCACTTCGCCACTGACGAATAACTGTTAAAATCGCCTCATTCTCCAAGACTTTTCTCCTAATAGGATTACTGCGACCAATCGCAATCGTACAATTTATACTTACAGCGATCCATATCGTCGATATCCCCCTTTCCTTTGTTAACCCTTACTATTGTCGCGGAGAACCTAACGGGTTACCAGGGCTCCGGCTCGAAGTGCATGAGAAGTAACAAGGTGGTTTTTAGTTAGTAAGAGTCTGACACTACCTTACGCCTCAGCCAGGCGGGAGCAGTCATTCGATGATTTTCCCCCCTTAAAAACCCCTTACTCTTGAACCTAGGATATCATGTATAATACCTACATTTACCCACTAACTAGATTATCGAAGCAACCATTTGTAATAATAATTTAATAACCATCTATTAATGGTTACAATTCTTACAATAGTGATAATTACCGATAATTATTGCTTATTTCCCTTCTTATGATTACATTGTAAAACGTTTTTTTTTTTCTTGTCGCGGAGAACCTAACGAATATAAATTCACACGACTTAACTCTCTGAAAAGCTTTGTATTTATTTCTACAAAAATAAAATTAAAATTAAATAATTATACCACTTTATCGCGTTAAAATTATCGTAGTAAACATCGCGATGCTCGCATCAGATGGGTAAAACAATTTGCCATAAGATGTACTTTTGATATATACTTAAAGTAAAAACAAAAAAAAATAGAACGTCATTTTTTATATACTAAAAAAAATCATGGAAATACGCACATGAAACACTAGACGTAAATTTGTAACATTTATTCGCATCGCATGTTCCATCCGACGAATAATACCTCTTCGAGAATTATATGGCGTGCTGTTTTGATAATGTACTATGAGTTCGTATGCGCTTTCGAAGTTTGCTTTTTGCAATGGTTCACCTTTGTTACATTTTGTTTTAAACATTTTGTTTCTTTGTAAAACTATTAACTGCACTGTTGGTGCGGTGGCTGGGCAACTGGCTGCCGTGCAACGTGTCGCGGATTCGATTCCCGCACGGAACAACACTTTGTGTGATCCACAAATTGTTGTTTCGGATCTGGGTGTTATTGTGTATGTGAACTTGTATGTTTGTATACGCACCCACGACACAGGAGAAAATCCTAGTGTGGGCCAACGTTAAAAAAAATGTATTACCATGACTGAACCATTTCACTTCGGGACGAAAACGAAATAGATTTTACGATGGATAGGTAGGTACTTACAAACTCTCCAATAGCTTTTTTACACGGAGAACTGAATAAAATATTATTAAAAATATGGATATAAAATGCGGTCAAAATATAAGTAACCACTAACGTCATAATAACTTAGCTTGATTATTTGTTGATATTACGTTTTATAATCGACATTTAATCGGAATTTAATACGTTTTATTACAACTTATAATAATTATTGTAACCTTTATATTATAAGTTTTATGTTATTAATTATAATGGTACACAGGTTAATGTGTATTCTAAGCTTGACTGAGTAAAGACTTGGCGTATTTTGCACTTTTTATATATAGGCAAATAATTCTTGTTTTTATGGTATAAGCCGGTAATCAGACAGCAGAGCAGACGGATCACCTGATGGTAAGCAATCGGTGTCGCCTATGGACACCTGGAACACCAGAGGCGTTACAAGTGCGTTACCGGCCTTTTGGAATTAGGAATTTGAGGATTGTTGGGGATTCAGGGGTTGGGGAAAGGGATGGGGGGAGGGTAATTGGGCCTCCGGTAACCTCACTCATACGACGAAACACAACACATTGTTTGTTTCACGTCGGTTTTCTGTGAGGCCGTGGTATCACTCCGATCGAGCAGGCCCATTCATGCCGAAGCATGGCTCTCTCTCCCACACTTAAATACATTGTAGGTATAAAATGCATATGAGAAATGAAATGAAATAGTTATTTATATTAACTAGCTGATCCGATGAACTTCGGTACGCCTAAAAACTTATCTCACCTTTTAAACCTTCCCTGGACTTCCACAAACATTTCAAGACCAAAATTATCCAAATCGGTTCTCCCGTTCCCGCCTTTTAACGAGATTCACGAATAGAAATTTATTTTTATTTCGTACATACATACATATAGATAATTTTATTTAATACTCGAATAAAAAAAATCTGTTATTTGTTCTTTAACAAAGTCAAAGTCAAAGTCAAAGCGTTTATTGCAACTAAGTGTACAGATGGTGGTTATAAAATTATTACAGTGCTTAATACTTAGCGGCCTCTTACAGACATTGCAACATTTTTAGTTATGTAGGTACACATTCATTTTTAGTTATGTAGGTAAACATATCGCTTAATTCAACACAATTAAAATTAAAAATATAGAATTCGTGAAAATGTCCTTTGTAAATAATAAATACGCGATCGTTACTCATACCTACGTACTTTGCGTTTAACAGAAAGCGAAAATATTCCTATTTATTTAGGTCTTCCTTTATAGAAATCAAAAATCTATGATTAATTGTAATATTTTGAATGTCATTGGAAATTGCCCTGTGGCAATAGGTTAAGTAGACCACGAGGTCTTAGAATCGATCCCTGGGTCAAGGAATATACTTAAAAGTTCACAATTATGCCTTGTTTGCGCAAAGGCTCGTCTTTATTTAGTAGAAAATCTCAAGGTACACTTTGCAAAAAGTGGGCGTTAAACATTTAAATATCGAAACACCCACTTTTCGTAAATATGGGCCGCCCACTTTATACAACTATTTTGCTATCAGTGGAGTAAAAGCAACATAAATAAGTACCTATAAACCAAGACTGTAGCGATATGTTTTAGCCCGTCTTTCTCAATAAATGAATTAGGTATCTAATAGGTACAAAAATATTTTATTCATTTTGAACCAGTAATTTGAGAGATCAGCGCGTTCAAATAAACAAACCCTTTAGCTTTAAAATATACTATACATAGATATCATACAAAACTGAATATTAATCGCAGACTGACTGGTACTGGGTGCAGTTGAGCGCGCATCGGAAATTGCATAACCATTGTTGTGACGTCATGAGTCCACTCACCTCCCATGTCGAACTAACATGTTCAAGCTTGATAAACGACCTCAGGAAGCCTAGACTTTGGACCTGAAGATGTATGACTAAGGTAGATAACGTCAGTACGTCTTTAAAAGCATTTTTTGGGTCAGTAGTCGACCTCTAAGTCATGCTTGGAATTTGGGTCAGACTAACTAATTAGTGTATTTTTTTAAAGAACAAAATATATATATCTTTACATATAATAAAACTGTAGAAATTTAAATTCTGTACATTGAAAATATAAAAATAAAATAGTGGGGTTACGACTAGATATACACCAAATCCAAAAATGTGATTAAAACATTTTTGTCTGTCAGTTTGTCTATATGTTTACGCATCACGCAAAAATGACCGGTCCGATTACGATGAAACTTGGTATGATTATGCTTTAATATCCTAGGCACAACTGGGTACTTTTTATCCCGAAAAAGTAAATAAACAAAAAAAAAAACTTAATTGGGCAGCTGAATCCTTAGACACAGTTACTGTACCATACGCAAGTGGTTGCAAGTGCGACTGCTGGGTAAGGGGTCTCGCGTCCGATTACCGGGTCGGGCAATGAATTACTGGGTATTAAAAAAAATCTTAGTAGTAGCACGGAGTCTGAAATAGTGCCCGGTATACGGCAATAGGTTCACCCCCTATTACATGGGACTCATAACATAAAGTGGGTGTTACGTTGTACAATGAAATCAAGTGCAGTAATGTGCACTCTTTTAAAAAACAATACCATAATAACAAATTAAGTAGTACAGAGATAAATATATATAATCATGTCTAGTTCAAATCTTAATTATTTTAAAGGAACTTGTGCAAATAAATAGACGATCAGA